TATGTTTTAGTTTTCTTCAATTGTTTTTTAATGAAATGAAATAGTTTTGAGGTATTTTTTTCTTTAATTTTTTTATAATTTAGTTAATAAAAACTAATTTTTTTATATATATTTATTATAATTTAAATATATAATAACTTTTAAATGTGTTTGTTGGAGAAGAAAGACCATCAAACATTGTGACAGTGGTTATTATTACCTACATTTTTTTTAGTATCACATAATTTCGTTGATATTTTATTAGTTTATAAGTTTTTATTTTTGAACAATTAATTATGATATTTGAACATATTTATCTATAAATTAATTTTAATTTAGGACCATGATACATTTACCGTCTTCGTTTACACCATTCGTCACACACCTTCACTTTCTGTTACTTAATCTATTATCTCCAGATGTCGTTTCTTACTCTTCCTACTTTCCTTTCTCCCTATCTTTGCTTTCCTCTTACTCTTCCTGCATTCCTTTCTCCCTCTTGCTGTTCTAATTGACCTGGGTTTGAAATGTTGGAGGAAAGTTTCCAATTTTTTTATCAACCAAACAACATACTATATTATTAAATTTATAAAAATTTTATCAAATTCATTATCTTCTTCCTTTTTCCTTCTTCCTTTTTTTTTTTTCTCTCTTCATCTGGAGAACCCAAATCGAAAACCTAGTTTGGGTTCTCCGAGAGAACTCAAGGAGAACCCCGATAAGAACTCAACCTAGGTTCTCCAAAAGAAAGGAGGAAGAAGGGAAAGAAGGAAGAAGGTTGAAAATCAAAGAACCAATGCTGGATGAAAAGGAGAGCTGCTGCGTTAACGGAAGAAACGGAGAGAATGGAAAACAGAATGAGTGTGTAAATATCATTTCTCTTTAATTTATCATGTAATAAATATTAAATATTTGATTTATTATAAACTATTTTTAATAAATAAATTGATAAAATATAAACAAATAAAAAAGACTTAAAGAAAATATGGACCATAATGACCACAACCAGAAGCCTTTCTCTCAAAATCAATGATGAATATTGAATTATTGAAGTCCCACCCATCATATCATTCTCGAAAATGATTTGAATTATTTATCAAAAATGGAAAATGATTTAAATCCAATTCCATTATTGACATTACACTTGTGGTTCAAAAAAAATCCCACTAGTGATTTATGATGTAAAGATGTCTGCTCTAGAGCATCAAAACAGAGCAAACATTTCTTCTGCAGCATCCACCACTCTGTTTCCGCCATGAGTATTGTTCAACAAAATCTTCATGTTGCAGTGTTCCCATGGCTGGCTTATGGCCACATCCTCCCCTTTCTCGAAGTCTCCAAATTCTTAGTTCAAATGGGTCATCGAGTATCCTACATCTCCACTCCCAAAAACATCAGCCGCCTCCCAAAATTCCCTACCGAATTATACCCCAATTTGAGTTTTGTACGACTTCCCATGCCTCAGGTTGAGGGGCTGCTGCCGGGGTTCGAGTCCACTGCCGATATTCCGGTTCACAAAGTGCCTTACCTCAAGAAGGCATATGACAATCTCGAAACGCCTTTGGCTGACTTCCTCAAAACCTCACTGGTAGATTGGATTATCCATGATTTCGCGCCGCATTGGTTACCACGAATTGCTACTCCAATGGGGATCAACTTGGCCTTTTTCAGCGTTTACAGCGCTTCCTTCGTCGCTTTTTTGGGTCCCCCAGACAAGCTAATTGGAGGCCACCTGCAGCGCCCAGAGGACTTCACCGTCATGCCTGAATGGATTGATTATCCTTCTAATATAGCTTTCAAGCTCCATGAAATAGTGAATGTCAAGCAGGGTATGGACCAAGACGTCGAAGATCCAATCAGGTGGGCATCCGTCGTTCAAGGTTGCCAAGTTGTGACTCTGAGGAGTTCCACTGAGTTTGAACCGGACCCGCTTCGTTTGCTTCCTGGGCTTTTGCAGAAACCAGTTGTACCGATTGGGTTGCTGCCGCCGTCAGTGACGTCGGCACCACCTGACGAAGACAATGAAGACGACACGTGGAAATCATTGAGAAAGTGGCTTGATGGTAAAAATCCGAAATCGGTTTTTTACATCGCACTCGGCACCGAGGTGGCTCTGAGTCCGTCGTTGTCGCACGAGTTGGCATTGGGGATAGAGAAATCGGGACTGCCCTT